GCTGGGCAGATCTACCTTCAGTAGTTCTGTAGGGCCTATGTGATGATGTTGGACTGTCTTCATAAACTTCAATAACTGTAGCTATTCTGTACTTCCTAACTCTGTTTCTGTGGAGATTTTACTTAACTGAACAGGGGAACAAATAATAGAGCAGCAAACTACTGGGGGGAAATCTAAGCATGACTTTCTTGTCTTTGCACACACCAGTCTTCTGAGTAGGTAAGATTCTAACAAATATGCAATTACTCAAAGTATGTAACACCTATGCTTTTACAATTATAAATAAACTATTGAATGCAAATCTGCTTCATGGAGATTTTTTGAATAAGTATACTCAAAAGTATCTATCGGCTGTCGTACATAACTTCAGGACCTCAGATAGATTAGATAATAATCTTGTAAGAAGTTTATGCACTAAAACCTGCATGGAACACTATTAGGTGACAGCCTTCTGGAAGATACTCTCCTACTTGATTGTCTCAGCCAAGTTGCTTTGTTCCTGAAGCACTCACCTGTGAAGGTGTGGTAGGTCAGGCTTTACCCTGTAGTGAGACTTACTGGATTAAATGCTGYCACTGGCCTTCTTCACAGGCACTGACCACTATCTGTACGGCAGAGTTCTAAGCAGTCTTGAATGCAAGGGTTTTAAATTGGTCAGTGCTTAGCCTAAAGTAAAATAACTTCAGCTTTAGGGTAGTTGCTTTTCTAATGAATCTCTAAATGAAATATCAGTAATAGTAAGGGTTAGTGATGAACAAAGAGGCTGCAATCTTTGTGACAGGATCTGGATGAGTGGACTTAATCTATCATAAGTAAATTTGCGATAACATCAAGATGGGTCAGCATGTTGATCTGCTGGAGGGTAGGAGGGCTCAGCAGATGGATCCTGGACAGGCTGGATTGATGGGGCAGGCCCAGTGCTATGAGACCAAGTGCTGGGTCCTACACTTCAGCCACAATAACAGCAGGCAGCACTACRGGCTGGGGCAGAGTGGCTGGAAAGTGACTGTCAGAAAATGACCTGTGAGTGCTGGYGACAGCAGCTGAGCTGCCCAGATGGCCAAGGCCAATGGCATCCTGGCCTGATCAGCAATAGTGTAAGCAATGAGACTGGGGAAGTGGTGATTCCCTTTACTTGGCATTGGTGTGGCTGCCCCTTGAGTACTGTGTTGAGTTCTGGGCCCCTCACTTAAAAAAGGACATGGAGATACCAGCACATTCCTGGGGAGGGGCAGCAAGGCTCGTGAAGGGTCTAGAGAATGTCCTATGAGGAATGGCTGCGGGTGCTGCATTTGTTTAGCCTGGAGAAGAGAAGGCTTAGGAAGGACCTCACTGCTGTCTACAACGCTCTGAAAGGAGACTGGAAAAAGAGTAATGAGGGGTTTGGTCTCTCACTGTGCCTGCAGTGAGAGTATAAGGAAATGCCTAAAGCTGAGACTGAGAGATTTARATTAGATATTAGCATTTCTTTTTCACTGTTAATGTTGTCAGGTCTTGGAATAGGTTGTCTGGGGTGGTAGACTCACCATCTCGAGAGGTGTTCAAGAGGTGTCTGGATCTGGTATGGAGTGATGAGGTTCAGTTGTTTGGGGTTTACAGTAATAGTGCTGGGGGGATGGTTGGACTTGATGATCTTAAGGGTCTCTTCCAACCTTGATGATTTTATGATTCTGTACTCTATAGTTGTGGAAGCACTGACTTAGAAGTAAAGATCCTCAGGACTGTGATTTTTTTTTTTTTTTTTTAGCAAGCAAACTGTTTACTGAGTTAGTACTTGCCTGCAGACTTTCCGAGGCACATCTGAAAGCATGCTGTCAGCTAGCTCTCCTGACAAGACAGTGATGTTAACTTCAACTAGCAGAAGAATTAATGCGTGAAGAGTCCATGCTCTTTTGTTGGTTTGGGTGAGTGAATTGGGTCATTTTATCTTGTAATCAGACAGGTACCGAAGGAGAACTGCAGCGTTTCTTCCTCCTGGTGGCAGCAGTCTGCTCACTGAGCTGTGTAACAATACACAGCCTGARGGTGAAGTTACACAAGAGGTGAAGGTGTAATTTCCTATTGGGCCCTACCCAGCACTGCACTGGGTGTTGGCTCCGATGGGTGATCAACCTGACAAGCTTACTGGTCACCTGACCACCCCAGCACCCTGCTGAGACAGAAAAGTACACAAGTACAGCCAGCGCTGGCGTCTCCAGCCCCTATTGCTGTGCTGTCTGTTGTCATCCCCTATGCAATAAAAATTAGTAACAGGTGATTGTTTGAGTGTTAACACCTGAAATACTGTTAGRTCTCTAGTTACTTTTCTCAAATTACTTTCACCTGGATTATGCTAACTTAATTTGTAAAACTGTGCCAATTTATGTTGGACATGAGCATGCTAAGTACTTTAGTTGCCATAGGATGGTCGTTCTTCAGCTTTTGGATGGTGTGGTTTGTTTGGGGGGTTTTTGTGCAATCTGTACTGAACTCTCAGATGCAAATCCTTGTTTGAGCAGCTGCCTTGCAAAGAAGCACCAAAACACAGCAGCTGTGTTGCTGTGATCAGCAGGCAAAACCTGTAGTCTACCTGCAAAGACTTTCTGTAGCTGTCCTAAAGGCCAGTGTTGCATTTCAGCTGTTTAGATTAGCTGTAACTTCTTCACAAAGCTTTTGCTGTGAAATGAAAATACTTGCCCTTGATTCAGCATTCCAACTATTACACTGATGCAATAAAACAAAAAATGCTTCAGTCAGAAATTGCTCTCGTAACACTTGATCTTATTTTTCCAATTTTAAAAACAATACTAACAAATTCTTACATAAAAAGTGTTTTTATCTTCAARGAAACTATGACATAGAGCAGTTAGTGAAGTTTATTTGTATTTTGTAAGTTGAGTTGGAATACCTGTAATGGAAGTCTTTTAAGCACCTGCTGTGGAATCTAGGACCCTGAATTATATCATGTCCTGATTGGCAGTTACCTGCTTAACAGTGTATGTTCTTTAAAGATATCAGCAAAGAACTGTTTGGACTTAGCAGAGGGAAGTTTTTTTTTACATCGTAAACTGCTCTAGGCACAGGTGAGTGGCACCTGGTGCTTAGTGTTTCTAGCATCATTTCATTTCCACACAAAAACCCAACATTAAAAAAACTCAGTTTCTAAAACTGATGGAACTATCATTCATGGCTCCCACAGGTTTGTTCTCCATCCACAGCTCAAAGGTTAAAGCACATAGCCAGAACTCTGAAGGTACGGTTTTAATATCTGYTGCCTGTGTGGAACTGTAGAAGTGAATTGAAGGCCTAGGAGAGGATGTGCTTTAGATTTTTTGGGGATGCCATTAAGGCAGTCCCTGTTTTAAAGTAATTTAACCTCAAAGAAAAACCATKATTGTTCCCTCACTGGAGTGGGCATTGGACCTTTTCTCAAAGCCCCAGTGATTTCTTTAGCAACTTCATTGTGAAATAGTGGTGGAAATTCTAAGCYGTGTTTTAAAATAAAATCAGAGGTRCCAGTTGCACTGTTTGGATCATGTTGCAGTTGGCATGTCCTGTGCATTTCCAGACAACACTTYCTGTTCAAAACTTACACATGAGAACAATCAATTTCTGTGCTCAGGCAAAAAGAAATGTAAATGTTGCAACACTCAAGACTTGATTCAAAGTATGTACTAGAGGAAAAAGTTTTAGAGGTTTCATCAAAGGTCAATTAAAAAAAAAATAACAACAACAAAGCACAAACTCTGAACTTCCTGCAGAGCTTAAGTGCTTCTAGAATTGTATTGCAGTCCCAATWCCCAAATCCCTGTTTCATTTGAGATGTAAATGTGGGCATTCAAAACTCCTCACCTCTGCTGGTGGAGGAACCTAAAGTCACTTAAGGATCTGCTATTGCACTTTTGCAGAAGCATTTTAGATCTTTACAGGGCAAAACCATGTCTTACTAAACAGTCTTATCAGGATACACTGTTAGTGCTCCAGTTGGGACCTCAAAGCAAATCTGTCCACACAAAACCTAACATGCAGTCTACATGTTAGAACAGCCACCCAGCAATTTGATCCCCTTTCTGGTGGAGGAAAGGACAAAACTTTCCCTTAATTCTTGGAAGTTCTTGAACCACACAGGCATGCTGAGATCTGTAGGAAAGGAAGATCTTGATCTCTCCTTCTTCCCACAGAGCCTCCGTTTGTTTCCTTAAGTAACTGTAACAGAGCTTGCCTCTAGAGCTTCGGGTTTCTGCCTTGGGAGTCTCTTAGCAGGCCTCAGACARGTCCTGTTATCTTTTTTCTGTATGAATACGATGAGTATGAAATGTCAGTTCAGATACATTGGGGAGCTTTAGGCAGGATTTACTTCCTGAAGAGTATTCCCTGAGTACAAATGCAATCTTAGACAGATTTGTTGTTCCCTGTGGGAGGTAAAATTCAAAACTTCTTTACTAGGCAATGAAGATGTATTTGCATGGAAGTTGGTAAAAGAATGAACTGTAACAGCTTTTTTCTCTTGCTCCTCTTCCGATGACAGATGCCATCACCAGTAGGAGGATATCTTCACAGAAAAATAGTACAGCCAACAAGCCGCCAGAAGCTCAACAGATGCTTGTGAATATCAGGCATCGAGTTCAAGTCTTTTTCCACKACAGAGCTTTTCTCAGAAAAGAACGGGCTGTCGTTCACTTGGTGCTTCCCAGACTCTGGGATTTCACCCAGCAGGCAGCTGAAGCATCTGGTGAACGGGTCTGGCACACTGGTAGGGGAAAGAGGATGGGCTGGGGCCTCTGCAACGACTCTGAACCAAGAGAGCTCTGATGCAAGAGGGGAGAAAAGAAAAAGAAGGAAAAAAACAAGACAAAAGAAAAACCCCTCCCCTTACAGCACTGTCAGGGAAAAGCTAGGAGCCCACTTGCCAAGTCCCTCCTGTAGCTCTTTATATTAATAAAAACATTCTGAGCAAGCTCTTGAGCACAAGGAACCAACATTCACAGATAATACAATTCAGATGCCACAGTCCAGAGAATTTATTTGGATTGGAAAGTGACTGCATTCGTCTTAATATGGCACAGCCTCCAGTTTCCCATTACATCATTTCCTATTACATCACTTCCTTTTTCTAACACACTAAACATCTACTAAATGGTCAGTTTCATATCTAGTACAGGTTCATTTTCAGTATGCTTTAAAAGTTATTTCCAATATAGGACATCCTTCCAACTCAGCAAACAAAACCAAACCCCTCAATTGGAATTGCTAAGACTTCTTTATGAACTGCCTTTTCTCTAACACTCAAACTTTTTGTGCTAGAGAGCCTGTCTAGCACAAAAGCATTTCTGACTGCAATTGAACTATGTCACTTCTACTATCAAGAGTGTTACTATTTTTTTAAAATCCATAGTGAAATCCTGTTATTGGCCTTTGCTTGTAAAAACAGTTGCAGTCATGAGCATACAGGAAAGTGTAACTTAACAAAAATCAACGCTTAGTGGACTCTTCATTTTGTTTTGGTAAAGGCCTCAGAATATCTTAAATCCTATCATTAAACATTTTGCAGCTTTAGGTTTTTTTTTTTTTGTTTAATTGTAGAAAAGCACCCAAATGAAAGGATAATGGATGGATTTCAGTGTGATATCAAGTGGCATGGATACTTATCTTCCCTAAACAGGTATTTCATCTGCTAAGCGGAAAACCACCTTCCCATAAAAAATCCAGGTTTTTACAGTCAAAGTCAGTATTGAAACAAACATCTCAGCCTTGGTGAGGTGCAGGCCAGGCAGATGTGGTTTGTCTACTGCTCCTGACAGTACCCAAACACAACTGTTCACTCTGGGAACTGTCCCTGCCCCAATGCCAAGTGAGCAGAGCCTTGTACTGTGGAGCTCCCTTGTGCTGCTGTCCAGGAGACTCAGTTGTGCAGGTAACTCTACCTTGTCTCATCTGGAATTAATGCAAGTGAGCCTGAAGCAAAATCTGAGTATCTGGCAGATATTTACKTCACCCCACACATACTGATGCAGAGTGCAAAGGAATGGGCTAGATCACTTAAAAAAACCAGAAAGGTGACCAAGTCTTGTAAAGCATTTAGCAGTGTTTGAATCCAGCCTCATCTGTCATGGGGTTCAGACCAAACATTTCTCCAATGATGTTCTAGCATCACTTCTAATTTTACTCCCCTCAACATATCTTACAGTCATCCGCGAACATTATCCTTAAAAAAACTTAGGACCAGTAAAAGGCCCACAGAGAAACAATTTCCTAGAATGAATGTGACAAATATTTGCCAAAAGAAAAATCCAGTTAAATGGAGAAACATGAAGTTGCCATTTCCTACTAAGAAAAGTGAAGTTTCTAAACCTAACGTTCATTGGTGCTTACCTAGGGCAGCAAGCTGTCACAAGAAATGCTACTGATAAGAGTAACAAGTATAGAGGTGAATATTAATCATAAATTAAGAATTTCAGTGAGATCTCTGGCAAAACTGGGAAGAGGTCCTTGCCAGTAARTTTTGAAAAATACACATCACTTCCAGGCAGATATGTCTGAGTATGGTGACTCCACTCCATCATTTTTATGAGCTCTCTCATATGAACATACACACACATCCGATTCACTGCATAGCTACTTATGGATCACCAATCTCTTGAAATACATCTAGTTTTGTTCTCATACTTACATAAATAACATTTCCACATCAACTTGTCAATCTTATGACTGAACAAAGGCAGCAAAATCTCGTAAATAAGGTGCCTCAACAATAATTTGGGGTGGCTCTTGCTGACTGGTCCAGGGGTGCTGCCCAGCAAAGGTGCTGCCCCTTAAGTCTGACAAAAAATGAGAGGTCAACTATTTTGTTGACTGTTGCTCATCATCAGGTAAGACTAATCATTAATGATGTTGTACCTTGCCTACACAGTAAGTGAGCTTTCCCCTTTTCCCTTTTGCTCCTGTCTAGATTGCTTGTATTCCATTTAGGTTTATTGTTTGATAGCTAAAGAACCCATGCTGTGTGATGAGGAAGGGGAAGAAAATTTAAAAAAATAASTGTAGGAATAAGAAAGTACTCCCCACATTCAAAATACAATGTACAAAGGACGGCAGGGAACTCTCTATAACCTATTTACAGAAAGGGATTTGCAAACATTCAGTGGAGTTCRTTGTTCTGCCTCACTGTAACGGCACAAAGCAACAAAAAATCTAGTACACAAAGTGAATATGCATATTCACTTAAAAAAAATCCAATTTGAGAAACCTCTTAGAAGTCTTTCACCCTCAATCTCAATTTTCTATCTTTTCCAACAGCACCTACAATAATCACGTCTGTGGAACAGTTACTGAAAAGTAGTACTTAAAATTAGCCTTAATGCAGTATTTGTTAAACACAGTAACTTTGCCTTTTATATTGTTGTTTTTTTTCAGTAAAGTTTTGCCTTACATAGTTTATACAATTCTGTAAGTAAAACTCATTTATGCACAGGAAAGTGCAATCCAATTGACACTTGAATTTTTACTGTATTAAAAAGTCATGGCAGTGTATAGAAACACTTAAAAGCCACATCTTTCAGCAGAGTAGGGAATAATCAATTTCAAACTCAAGCTCTAGGCAAGAAAAAAAAAAAWTACGACTGGTTTATTTGGGTATTTCAATCCTGGCTACAGGGACTTTTCACTGCAAAGGGAAAAAAATCCTGCCACCTGCATTCTTAAGAAGATCATGCTGATACAAACATGTTTCTAAGGTTATAGCATATGGAAGACGAAAAGTAGAGGATTCTCTTTCTTCTTTTATTATGCAAATAAAGCTTTCCAAATATTCATCCAGGAGTTTGTCATACCTTAAAGGGGAAATTTACCCTAGACAGAAACGGACATTAAAAGATGACCCAGCAGATTTCAGGCTGCCTGTAATATCTCCAGCCTTGAACTCCGAAAGAGAACAGGGCCAAAGTATGTGACTAGCAAGTCAGTGAAATACCTCACTGCTCTGCAAGGACAGTTTCCTACACTTTCTAAGTTCTGCAAAATGCAAACTTCTTACCTGATTTAAACAAAGTAGACAGGAAAGCAGGACACCAGGAAAAAACTTGTCTGACCAATAATTAGTCTGAGAGAGGTTCTATGGTCAGAAGCAGATTATGTACATAYCCGTTATGTCATGTATTGCTCACAACCTTAATGTAGGTTAAACAGCAGCTTCTGGATTTACTTAAGATCCCAGAACAGAAGCATACGGAAAAGAAAAGTGATTTTTAGTTTCTGACAAAGTTAAAAATATTACAAACTTTCAGCTTTTATTGAAAATTAAATATATTAGCAAAAGCAAGATTTAAGAAATATTTTACAAATGATTTACATACAAGAAAGCCAGTATCAGACATATTCACAAATATGCAAACCTTTAATTACAAAAAGTRCCTATTGGCAGCATGATGCTAACCTTGCCACTGCAGTGTGCTCTACTATTGATATGAATAAGGCATAGAACTCACATTTGCACCAACTTAAAAAGTTGAAATAAAACTTTAAGCTTTTGAATCCTGGATGCACAATCCCCGATAGACACACGCACGCACACTCTAAGATTTCTTCTTCTAAGCTCTACAAACTAAGTGTGTGCTCTRGAAGAACAGCCTCGAAAGCCCAGTAGAAATGTAACTGGTACTAGCATTTAGATTTCAGTTTCCTCTTTAACATGTACAGGCCTAGGTATGTAAACCATATTCACAGTTTAAGTATTTTTAGACAGAAGTACCTTTTGTTTCTGCATTTGTTCCTTAAAAGTTGGCTCCCAGTTCAGCATACAGTTCATGTCACCTGTTTTGCGATGCATACATTTACAAGACAACTTAAAACAACCTGTGCCATACTAATGGTCAAGATAATGAAACAAGAGTAGTAATATCCAACTGTGACATTCAATACTATTTTTCAAATATTTGTGCAAACAGCAAAAGAACAGTTGCATGAGGCAAACATTTGCAAAACCTTTATTACCTCCTCAATGTTGTAAACTTGGACTGTCAGCCTTAAATCCTGCACTTCCACAGCTTAGAAAAGTCAATTGCTAAAATGATCAAGTCTCAAAAAGGTTCTTTTCTACATAGTGCAAATTTTAATGWAGATAACGTGAAAAACATATCTAGCTGGATTGACTTTGTGCAATTGTCAGTGGTCTTCTCTCGTAGTTGAAGAAAGTGTGCATTCAATGAACCATGTGGTTCAGGAAGCCAGGAGGGTAGAAAGGAGAGAAAAAACAGTTCCATTACACTTCTCAAACCAGTGCTAGATGTGCAAAGGCAGCAAAAATTCCAGCTGCTACTACAACCAGAACAGAGTAACTTTTCAGGAAGACCCGGGCAGTTAGTCACTTGGACTGGTCTCTAGAAAAATATGTGAGTATATGTTGGATTTTGATCAGACGGTCTTTTAAAGACATCATGGAGAGAACTGACAGCTGGTATCTGGGGTCTACTGGGAGAACAGCTAGAAGCCACCAACACCAAGCAGGACCATTGGGCATTGCCTAAAAATAAAACATAAGCTTGTTACCCAAAACCAATGTCATATAGTTGACTACCATGAAGACATCAAAAGACAAAGTCATCATGACCAAGACTATTTTAAAGTTTGAGACTAACTAGAGAATTCCAGCTCTGAAGCATCAGAAGAGAGCTGAAAGGATCTGTTTCCCTCAACTGAGAAGTCAAACAAAGTACACTAAAACTAAGCTTCATAGAGCAATTATTTTAAAGACAACATAGGAAGCTCATAGGTTCTTAAGGAAAAGATGGCTAACTACAGGACAGTCACCCAATAACAAACCTCCTTGCTAAAAATTAATACTTGTCATGCTGTTCTTGAGGCTTGGATATTCTTGAAGCCTAATGTTTTCATTACAATCACCTTTATTTGAAGAACTTCTCCATCACCCCCATTCCACTACCTTTCTCATTATCTTCTAGACAGAGCAGGACTAGTTAGAAAGTATCTTCTAAGCTGTTAAAACGCACTCAGTAACTTTTTCCTGTACTTTAATTACCAACACCGACCATTAGATGTCAGACTTTGAACTGGACTTAATAGTCCTCAGCAGAGATTGTACCGCTGCAGAGAATATTAAGTACCTCAAATGATTTGCAAAAGTATTACTGGTACTGGTACACTCCAGGATGACATTTCCTCACTCGCTGGTGTATCACACACCTGACACATTTGTGTCCTATAACAAATCTCATGTACATACCCACAGTATTGCTGCCCTGCTAATTACTCTGGTTTTGTACATCCATTCCTCTTTCCTGGTATGCTGTATGTTTATTAAATTGTTCTAAAATCACTTCTGCTTCATGCACTGGCCTCTACAGAATCTACAGTCCCTCCAGATAGGTTAATAGAGTCTCAYAGAAGTATTTAGCAGATGGGTGAGGGACAAGCTCCCCTAAGATCCCAATTCATATATAATTTTGCTTTGAAAACCAAATTTTACATATTTTTAAATGTTACTTTTCTACAGCCTCCAGTCCCTCAGCACTTCACCCACCTTCATTAATTGTTTATAATCAAAATAGATTGCTGCAGGTAGTTTGTCAAGAAACATTTGTCAAATCCTAGCAGCTGCAGCAGTTTATGGGATTAGCTCAGAATGGAGGAATGTGTTACTTGTGATTACCTTTTTGCCCAAGGTAACTGTCTGCACGTGGCAGTTTCAGCGTCTGCCCTGACTTTCGCAGGGAAAAAATACAGGGCTCTTTTACTTTGAATTCTAACAGCTTTGCACAAACTAACAGTTTAAATGTTACTGGAACTTAAAGTGTCTTCATTTTACTAGTTTTTATTTCCACATCAGCATATCACTCTTTCCTGGGGAAACTGCTGACTAGTGACAGAACTGCTTTGTGTTGCTCATTATCAGAGAAAGAAGGTGGAAACCTTATTGCCTTTGAAGTTGGAGAAAAAAGTGGAGGTTTTTCTTTTAATTCTTAGCAGTTGTTAACAGGGTTTTATTTTTAAAAATAAGTATCTAGTAATTAATATTAAAAGATGTTGCACCTGTATATTTTCCTCCCTGTCAGGCATTGGTCCGAAGTGCTGAAGAATTTGAGTACGAAATTTGTTTCTTAAGTTTTGGAACCAACTGCAGGCCTGATTGTAAACAAAATTGTGAAGCTCTTTCAATTTTTTTAGTTCTTCTTCATTAGCAACCTATAGGAGGAACATTATGAAAATATGATTAATGATAAAGAAACAATTAAGGAGTTTAAGCTAAAATCAAAAAACATTCAWTTTCAACTATATTTAGATACATTTCTTGTATTCTTCTTAACCTTGACTGTTAATAACTGAATGGTAAAGAAGTCTTGTGATATTTTTAAAGTTACAGCTTCAAGCTATTGTTGAAACAAAACCTATAGTTTTCTTATTTGTTTTATGGTAATAAAAAAATTAAGCTCACTTCTAGGGACCTAAAAATTTGAAAGAGAGGTCTAAAGAACAAATCAAGCAAAAGTCTTGATATTAATACTACTAAGTATTTAGACAGAATTCTGGATACCTTGACATCTTCCAAGTATTCAATGTCTGCAGTGCAATATCCATCTTTCATCCCTCTCCGTAAAACTCTAAATCTTTTGCCACCAATTGTATCAACAACAGACCGACCATCAGGTAGAAAATGAACATTTCTAATTTGCAGCATGCAACCATAATCTGCAAAACTAGAAAAGAGACCTTGTCAGTAATACAATTACACACTTCTGAAAGGATGCTGTTTGTAATTAAAAATTACGTAAGAGATGAGAAGCTTAGAATTAGGATGTAAACCTACCCATTTTGAGAATCACTTATGCACATCCCAAACTGTTTGGTTCCAGTTTCCATACTCCTGCGAATCATGAGTCGGTATCTTGGCTCAAATACATGTAGAGGGCAAGGCACAGTAGGATATGCCATAGTGCAAACAAACATTGGAACATTCTTGGTCAAGCTTCAAGGGAACATAAAAAGAAATATATGCCTTCAAAATCTAAATATTGAGCTAATCCAAATCAACACATTGTTTTCAGTATATCTGCTATTTATGAAGTCATAAAACACTCTTTCCCAAAGTCTAAATATTTGCAGAAACTTTAATGAACAGTAAACCTACATACTGATAACAGTGGCTGAATACCTATGTACTGATTTGTATACATGCTGGAGAGTAAGACTGACTGTTATCTAGGTAGTGAGTCTCTAGTCAGCTCTGTTATGGGAACACCGGTATCAGCTCATTTTTTCCTTTTTGCTTTAGTTTGAGCTGTAAAAGCAATTAAGCCCTCAGAGATGCATTTTCCTGTAACTAAAAAGATGTAGTAGTAACTATATGGTAGCTAGGTCACCATTTAGATTATTTTCAGGGAGGGACTCCAGATCACAAGATGCAAACTAGGGTATAATTTGTACCAGGCAATATGCCTCAGCAGGCGTAACTGAAAAATTAAGTATTTTTTTCACTCTGTTTTATCAAGTATGTATGTACAGTTGATAGTTGATATAAACAAGTTATCATTAAAACATTATCATGTATTTAATTTTAATGCCTTTCAGACTATAAAACAGAATTCTACTGGATGGATTCCGTTAACTTAGTTGCATGAGCTGTAGTTTTAAATAGTTTTCCAATATTCATATCTACAATATACAATGCTCTACATATCTGAAGAACTCTCTGTGAGATAAACAACACAAAAATCTCAACAATTTTTTTATCACATSTATCTGTATATGATTAATGTCTATCATGAATTGCTTTGCAAGAAATTCAAGTCTCTTGAGACACTGCAGCCAATTGAAGAGGACAATTCCATTAAGAGCAGCAAAGCTGAAACCAAAGTTCCATGACAGTGCACACAGAACAAAGAACAGAGAAGGAAAAGTATTTCATAGAATCACAGAATGGCCTAGGTTGGAAGGGACCTTAGAGATCAACCAGTTCCAACTCCTCTGCTGSGACAGACCCTGGGTTCCAACCCCTGGGCAGGGACAYATTTCACCAGATCAGGTCACTCAGAGCCTCACCCAACCTGGCCTGACCAACCTACTGACCTTCTATGATGGAGTGACTAYGTAAGTGGACAAAGGAAGGGCTACAGATGTAATTTACCAGGAATTCTGTAAAGAATTCCCCCCTCAACATCCTCTCCAAATTGGAAAGAGATGGATTTGATAGGTGGATAACAAGTAGTTGGATGGTCGCACCCAGAGGGTAGTGATCAACAGCTCAGAGTCCCAGTGGCAGTGATGTCCCTTACGGGTCTGTATTGGGACCAGCACTATTTAATGTCTTCATCAATGACACAGACAAAGGGATCAAGTGCACCCTCAGCAAATTTGCTGATGACCCCAAGCTGAGTGATGTGGTTGATACAACTGAAGGATGGGATGCCATCCAGAGGGACCTGGACAAGCTTCATACTCCTTCTTGCATCCATAGTATACTCTGATTAATGACTACAAAAATAATAAAACTTTTATAAGGAGGATTTACATTCTAATTTCTCAAGTTTTTCAAGTCAGCAAGCTTACTTGGAGTGTTCAGCTGTTTCTTCAGCATGAATTCTTTTTCTCTCAAATAATTCATCAGACAAATACTTCATTATTAATTCCTCCAGCAGTTCTGTGATACTATATTTTCTGCTTGCAAGGTACTGTAAACAATTTTAAAAATGTATTAATATTTCTTGTCATGAGTATTAATAAAAGGCTTGAGAAAATGCAGCTTTTATTTAAAACTAAGATCTATGAAACATGACATAAAGCTCATTAAAACCTGCAGCTCTGAAGTTTTTATATTTCATTACTTAAAACCTAATGATACTCTAATATTTGAAAATTAGGTTCTCTGTGTTAGTTTTTAGTGTCTGACAATCATAGTATCTGACTCAGTGTGTATTTCTATGCTTACCAGAGACAAAACTTACAGCCATACAAATAAGAAAAGTGTATAGAAATTAGAGAGGTGTAACTGAATAGTCACCAAAGTTTACAAATATGTAGGCTTTAATCACACTAGTACATGATTACAGAAGCATAAAACTTCTAAGACCCTGCAGAAAATCTAATCAACTTGTATTGACAAAATTTGTCTCAAGTTTTCTATTCTAGCAGTAATCCATGTCCAAGCGAATTCCAGTTGTTGGGTTCAAGTTAAACAGCCTTTCAATTTATACASTATTCACATTTGTGAGTTTTACTGAGAAATGATACCTCTTTCAAGCTCTCCTTACAGAGTGGACACTGTGGAGCATGATCTAAACACCGTTCCAAACAACCTTTGCAAAAAGTATGTCCACAAGGGGTTGTTACTGGCTCAAAGAATAGCCTGAAATAAAATTATTACAAGTTAGATGCCATGGCCAGCATGTGTTTTGCTAAAAATGAGAGTGATTAACCTCTTGAATTTTTAAGATTAGCTATACTATAACAAAGTAAAGAACCAATTAATCCCAAGTCTCTACTTTATTTTACTTTTTCCTCTATACTGTAGTTTGTTTTCATTTACTGCAAYGCTCACTTTTTCATTTTCTGATGAAGTTGGATACATTCCAAAACTCTAAGTRACTAAACATTTAGCCCAATATACAAAGATTTTGGCCTCCCCACACAGAGATTCAAAATACACCAAATTAGATGATTCTTGGAGAAACTAGATTGTTTTAACAGCAGTATTACACACTAGTAACATAACTATGAATAGTTCAGTACACACCATATGTTTTACAGTATTTATTCTGAAAATCAAGATGATTCAGTAAGGGTTTTCAAATCCAACATCAGCTACATTTATGTCTCCCTGAGGTTCACAGGCTATGCTTCTAAGCATTAGCCTTCCCCAAATACATTTTATTGACTGAAAAAGCCCTAACATTTAATCACAAAAGATCCTGTCCTTTTATGGTCACCATTTAACACTGCCAAGTTTAACTTACAAGGCAACTTGATTACAATAGTCTATAATATATAGCACTATAGCAAGTGACATTTGAATACACATTTAACTGCAGGGATAGAGAAAAGCTGCAAATTATTGACTGATATCAGAACTCATAACAACTTACAACTACCTCAATTTACACATATAACAGATAACACGGCCAAGCATCTGTAACAGAAATATTGAATCAAGGACAAAATCTTACCTCATACATAGAGAGCACTCAAAATCTGATACATCAATCAAATCCCTTGGAATTGTTCCAAAAGCCAGTGTCATGTCCCTTTTTGTACTTTCTAAGGAAAAGTGAGACAAAATACTTCTTCAAAGAATGTCATAAGGCAATAAATACTTTAAATTTCAAAGTAAGTGACAGTTTACCTCCTTGCTTTTTATGTTTGTTTCTTCCATCTTCACATACAACTGTATCCTGTTCTGAAAAGGAAAGCTTTCTTTTTAACAAAGCACCTTTTCCTTGGCCAGAGAGAAGGGGTTCAGAAGACACTCTCTTTAAGCCATCTTCCTTGGCAAGGTCTTTTGTTGAGTTAAGAGCATGGGCAGACTGTGCACGATTTAAGCCTCCACTCACAGGCTCCAGTACATCTGATCCTCCTAAACTCTGTAACAATAARATGAACTGAACTGTATTCTAAGAGTAACACAAATTGTTACATGTAAGATGCATTAAGATGTGACTGTGCAAAGATATATAAGGCAAACTGATACCCACAGTTCAAAAATCTTCATCTGCTTCAAACAAAAGAAAAATTGCATTTCACCCGCTTCAAAAAAAAAAGAAAAATTGTATATCTCTTTATTTTGAAGTCCCTAAWATGAAACTACAGTACCTTCTAGTATTTTATTTATTACTCATTCTAGTTCACTAGAATGAGGAGTTTTAACACCACAAATGAAAATTACTCCCAAACCATGATTCTTTTCCTCCAGTTTAGCCAATTACATAAAATCAGTATTTACCCTAGGAAGCAAGTGTGACAAATCAGGGTATCCGCACATCTGATGTTTACACATGAGTCAAAGAACAAAGTTATTGTAGAGTTTTTGTTACCTGCTGAGGACAAAGCTGTAAGTTGCAGTACGATGCAGTCATGTCAGAACCAAGCATAAAAGGTTTATTTCTAATATGGGGTGAATTCCAAGCAGATTCTCTCTTCAGACTCTCACCTAGCTTCTCTGGTGACAAAACATCACACAATGTCTAGAAAAAACAGCTCAATGTTAGTAGTAACAATGAAAAAGAATCTAGACACACCTTTGTTATAAAAGTACATATCAAAAACTAAGAAGACAATCTAAATTAAGTTATTCTCATGAACAGATATTTATTCAAACAGTTAAGTGTGAAGGCAGAGYTGAGAACAAACAGGAACCTATACACCTACATTGCTAGAAAGAAATTTATCTTTTCTAAAAGTCAAACAGAGTTAGACATTATCAATTCAGTGTTATGCAGTTTTTTCAATTTAGATTTTTTTTTATAACAGAAAAAACTGTTGTGCTCTGGGTACAGAAGGTTTCAACTTGGAAAACTTCACTTGTTGCCCGCTTTCCAGTTTTCCACATATTCATTTTAGTAACTTCAAAAGCACATGCACTTTTATACATGTATGTAAAACATGTACATTGGGACTAACTCRTAAATGTAGTATGATTAAGGAATATCTTAAAAAGAATCTGCCACTTGAATCTTCTCTGTATGTAATGAAGATTTTTAGACGCTCTAAGTCTATCGTAACGGGAGCTTCATAAAGGAATCAAGTCAGAGATAGGAATTCAGTATCATAAATAAAATTACCTTTTCTACTTCTAGCTTGGCTGGAAGAAAGTCCTCATCAAGGGCTAAGCACTGTAGAAACAGTTGTAAGGCATCACCTACAAAGCCAGAGTCATGCAGCACTTTTCCTTTCTGGAAATAGACCTGAGAAACAGATACCATGAAGACATTCGCAGAGAGTAAGTAGAACTGCATTATTGATCTTACAGGCATTGCAACAGTGCTAGAAACTGCCGTGACAGAAAGAATGTAGCTCTAACAAATTTGAACTGTGCACAGTGTGAGTGATCCATATCCCTTGTCTAACATAYATCCACTACGGTGTTTGAAAAGAGTCACGGGATAGGCCGGTGTTTGTCTTCTTCCAGTTAAMTTGTTTTGGCTTATATAAAGGGTTAAAAGTCTCACTAGTGCTGAATTTACAACTCTTAATTTCCCTCTTCCGTAAGCCTTTGGAGAGGAAGAAGAGGGCCAGGAAATGCAAATTATTACATAACCTCACACAACAGCTTATAGCATGCTTTTTTTGCCCTCTCTTTCATTAAAAGCCTTATTGTTCCAGCCTTCAGGAGAACAGTGACTATAAATAAAAAAATTCACACATTCGTTTATCCCTTACATACATTTCAACCTATATTCTTTAAACAAAACAATGCACTCTAGGAATTAATTGCTTCTTCCAACTATATTTTATGCTTGAACACTAGACCCTAGCTAGGAAAAAATGCATCTGCATATTGTTTTCCTTGAAAGAAAAGAAGGGGAGGAAAAACTACCAGATTCTGCTSAACTTACTTGAAAGTAGATGACATTGAACTAAGAACTTATCTCAACTTTTAAAAGTTGCACTGGCAGTAACAGAAATAGTTAGACAAAACCAACAGTCATAAAAAAAGTTAAAACAACAGTATCTGTTTGTATATAAGAATTTGGATAATGGGCTGGAACTTAACATAACGCCCCCCCCAAAAAAACAATAACCAAACCAAATAAAAAACCCAAACAAAACAAACAAACAAAAAACACAAAGAAAGAAAAAAAACAAACAAAAAAAAAACAAAAAACCTCGATCAAATACCAGAGTGCCGTTTCTACACAATGACTGACAGCATGAACAGTAGCATCTGTTCAACAAGACTGTCAGATGAGGACATGCATGCTCTTTGATGGATTTGGGCAGTTTCCTTTAAAATGGTTTATGAAGAAGAGAAGTTTGCTAATCCTCCTCTTACAGACAATATTTTCCTACAGAGATAAGAATTGTTACARGAATCCATCCATCAAATGAAGCTCAGTTAAATGAAAGGACGCTTCTTTCCAGACATACAGAAAAAAGTAGGCAGTACTACTAAAGCTGAGAGATGAAAAGCAGGAGGCTTTATGAATTTGCCATGGAAGTAGCCCCAAAATTGCTGWACACCAGAGAAACCACGACAACTGYGGTTATATCCCCTTGTGTGGCAAGGTCTTGCTGCTCCTGCTGTGTTCAGAGTTTAGACAGTGCTACAATATGCACTATCTTAGAATTCCGGAGACTACTGACTCCCCTGCTGCCTGTACTATTTGCAAAGCTCAGTTCCCACTGAGTTTATTTGGGCTTTTTGAAGACAAACTTTCCAAGATAAAACAGCAAAGTGTTTTTCTGTTAATAAAAATTAACAACTAAACAAAACAAGCACCAAACCCCAGCTGTTATAGGTTACACTGCCATGAACTATTTCAACTCTTAGTATGTTTGTCAACCAGCTCTAACCTGCCATACTTATCAGTAGTATGTGTCATACAGGTTAACTATTTTAAAGATTACTTTTAGCATTTTGCATGTCTTAAAAGATATTTAAAGTAGCTGAGCTAGGTTTTTTAACTGATGCAAGTAAAATTTAGAATTCATTAATTTTACAAACACAATACTGAAAAATGGTGAGTTCATACAAACTTACCTCTGGCCAATTTGGCATTTTAGAAATAACAAAATTTAGATCTTCTATGGCTGTTTTATATTCTTGGAGGCCAACATATGACTCAGCTCTGTAAATTCTAAGCATCAAGTCACTGGAATCTGCAGACAGAAATCAGAAATTTTTAATTAGATTTGCTTTCATAGTGATATGTCATAATTACAATTTTTTCTACAATACTTCCAAAGTTACTGGAGTATCTTCTCCCTCACCCATTAGTGTTTGGATAACAAAAGTGGCAGTAATTCCCAGTTCATGTCTTGTAAGCTAAGGATGAAATTTTCGGTCCTAATGTAACTTGCAGCAACAAGAAAATTTGTTTTCAAATATTGAACAGAGAGGCTGACAAAATGCTGCTCAGTATTGCTGGGACAACAGAAATTGAGGACTAARTAAACTTTATCTTTACACTTCATCCAATCAAAACCACACAAATGTGGGAATTCACCATACTTATATTAAAAGTTGCGGTATTACAAAGTTTGCTTTCAAACACCCAAGCTTTTCTGTGGACTGCAATTTGTTTTCATAGTGCCTGACCTCTTCCGACTATGTCTGGAGATGCCACTTTCACAGTAGCATGCATCTGGGAGGTACTGGAAGAGGCTTTATCACTATGTGATAAAAACATAGCCAGTTCCAGAAAGCCTTTMACACTCAGCTGGCAGCCCTGTAGTAAGGAGTTGTAGTACTGAAACTTCTACAGTGGGAAAAATGCAGAATGTGTTCAGTAAGGACAAGTTCTCATGTCCAACACACAGAATTGTRCACTTTCAGTACAGCAACCTCTAAATGGAAAGATACCCATGTCCATGTCACTAGAACTATGCTTTTGTAACATAACTAATTGCAGTTGCTGATTGGAAAAAATGACAGTACACCATTTCATTCTTTATTGTTTTAAAAAATATACCTGATTTTCATTGAATGAGATAAACTAGTCAAAGGTTGGTCTACTGTAAACAATACTAAAATCAAATAGTTCTTTAAGTTTGTTTCAAAAAAGGCTTTATTGAGAGGTTATAATTTCAATTTCATATTCTATCTTAGTTTATTCTAAATGTCTAGTGCAAGTTTTCATAAATTTCCAATATTAGCCTGATCTATAGTTAAAAGGCAACCTGGCCAATGTTCCAATATATTGCAACACATTGCTTTGTATTGCTGCATGTAAAAAGATGTTAATGGAAAAGAAGGGGTTAAGAAAATCAGGTAATTCATYTAGCTGAAACTAAAGTGTCTTCCTGATTTGTCTTTCTTTTTAGTTGACAGTTTCCCTTCAAATATAATTATTGTCAAAGCTGGTTTGTTTCATTTTCATACGAGACATGACAAAATGTTTGTTCTAACCAAATTCTGGGAAACTCTTTTACTGACTCAAACACTAATTCTGCAAGCAGAACAATTCCTGTGGTTTTGTGTTTTGTGCCTGCTATAGCCTAGCAAGGTGAGAGCTCAGATTAAACTCTTCAGATAGTTTTTCATGTTGTATTTGACTCTTTGGTGTCCAACAGAGATAGTATCAAACCAAACTCCTTTGTTCAGAGGRCACGGTAAGTGCAGATCTTTGTTCTCTGATAAGCTGCCTATTTGCACAGAATCAGAGAACGTTCATCTTTTTCAGACTTTCAAGCGCAGAACRTGACCTGAGGAACTCTGAGCCCTTTTTCCTAGGGGGAAAATGAGGGGTAGCTTGAAGATAAAAATGTGAGTTCAAGTCTACAGCAGGTGGATGTTTTACCCACCTTTTTTAAAAAGAGAAATGCATGATTCCAACTGAACTGGTACAAAACAAAGAGTTTAGCTGAGACCCCCAACTCTGCTGCTGAACATACACACACTGTCACTGAATGATCAACAGATGTAACAAACTGGGTCTGAATATTTGGAAGACCAAAGGCAGATGATTACTAGTAATCTTCCCCAGATTTTAGTACTGGAGCCAGCCCTTTTTATACCTTCCACAATCTGGACAAGGGGATTGAGTGCACTGTAAATTCACAGATGACAAGCTGGGTGCGAGTGTTCATCTGCTGGAAAGCAGGAAGGCTCTGCAGAGCGATCTGGACAGGCTGGATCAATGGGACAAGGTTACTGGTATAAGGTTCAGCAAGGCYAAGTCACAACAATCCCCTGCAGTGCTACAGGCTGGGGCAGAGTGGCTGGAAAGCTGCCCAGCAGAAAAGGACCTGGGGGTGCGGGTGACAGCAGCTGAACATGAACCARCGTGTGCCCAGGTGGCCAAGAAGGCCGGTGGCATCCTGGCCTGGATCAGCAATGGTGTGGCCAGCAGGACCAAGGCTGTGATTGACTCCCTGTACTCAGCACTGGTGAGGAYATGTCTCAAATCCYGTGTCCTTTTCTGGGCCACTCACTCCAAAACAGACACTGAGGAGCTGGAGTGAGTCCAGAGAAGGGAAACGGAACTGGTGAAGGGTCTGGAGCACAAGACTGATGAGGGGAGGATGAGTTTAACCCGGGGAAAAGAAGACTTCACTTTCTACAACTACCCAAAAGGAAGCTGTAGAGAGGTGGGAGTTGCCTGTCTCTTCTCTTAGGTAACAAGCAACATAATGAGAAGAAATGGTGTCAAGGGAGGTTTAGTATGGATATCAGGAGAAATTTCTTCACCAAAAGGTGAAGTTGTCAAGCATGGTAACAGACTGTCCAGGGCAGTGGCAGAGTCACCATCCCTGGAGGTATTCAAGACATGCAGATATGGTACTTAGGGACATGGTCTAGAGGTGGACTTGGCAGTGCTGGGTTAATGGCTGGATAATGAACTGAGACATCTTTTCCAACCTAAACGATTTTCTGCTTCTATCTAAATTCATATATCCAACTTTTTAACCATAATTTAATTTCTAGGCTCTGTTACCACCAAAAAAAAACAACAACAAAAAAAANAACAAAAAAAAAAAAAAAAAAAAAAAAAAAAAAAAAAAAAAAAAAAAAAAAAAAAAAAAAAAAAAACAAAAAAAAAAAAAAAAACAAAAAAAAAAAGAAACCAAAAAAACCCAACCCAATTTGCAACATTTCAGCATATGTTTAAATGCTTTTAGCCTGAAGAGAAGGCGCAAGCTAATTTTGACTCTTTGGACCATAGACTAAAGAGACCAGAAACAAAACTCGTTCCTGAATTTTTAATTTCAGTAACCAAATATATTGTAAAAACAGGATTCACTCACTTCTAGCAACCAAACTTATTTTAATAAAAAAAGGCACCAACTACTTGCAGTGTAGAGCTGTGTGGATCAGCTGTTATTATTGCATTAACCAGGATGTATGCAAAGGTGTACACACAAAAACTTATTCAATATGCATTCCTGAGTTTTAGATTATTTCCAGAGTATTTCTTCTTACTGTTAGTATAAACATAACAATTAATGGACTACCTCTGCTGTGATACTGCATGCTTTTTGTATGGTTCCTAATATACCAATTCTTCAAAATAAAAGATATGCACATCAAAAACACTATGTAGAAATAGTTTAGGACACAGTATTTGTAACACAGTACTAAAAGGTAACCCTAATAATCAGCTGGAACACATAACCCATAAGAAGGTGCTGAGAGAACTGGGCTTTTTTAGTAGAAAACAATTCCCGAAGGCACTGGGAGAACACAAGAGCTTTTCAGAATTCAAAAGTGGGTTATCTAGAAGACTCTTTACTGAAGTACACAGTGAAAAAACAAGAGGCAATGGTTATAACCCCAAACAAAGGCAGTTAAGACTTGAAATAAGGAAAATAGTATTCACTCTAGGGATAATTAACCTTTGAGCAGGTTGCCCAGAGAGGCTGTGGAGTCTTCAGCCTGTAGGTTTTCATGATCCAGCAGTACAAAACCATAAGAAAACTGCTCCAATCTCAGTATTTGTTCTGCTTTAAACGGGAGACWGATTGCTCAACTGATCTCCTGAGGCCCACTCCAGCAGGAATGAGTGAGATTCAGACCAAACTCAACGCATCAGCAGTGTGTTTCAGGACACTTGATTAAAGGCAAGCTGTACTTGTATTTTAATCCAATAGACTTCCTTTAACTAAGTTATTTAATTTCAACTCCTGCAAAGAATATATTAACTATATGAATGTTAACATTCCTTACGGTTTTTGAAAGTCACTTTTGCACCATGGCAAATATGACTCTTTCAAATGTTTCAAGAAATGCAGGAAAGTTATGAAAAGATGCCATTTGAGTAAAGGTTTAGCATCAATGCATTATTTAGGACATCAAATTTATGTTTATCACAACTTCTTAACTATGTGCATTAAAAAGAAACAGATGAAGTAGCAGTAAGGAAATGCTGAAACAGAATCCGAATGGTTTTAAACATTGATWCATTTCTTATGCTACGTCTTTTCCATCTCTAAGTGTCTTCAAAAGTCATGTTCTGGAGGAAGATGAAAAGTACACCAGCAKCTGCTAATTTGTTATCTATTGGCCTGAAGTCAACTTCAATTTGTAGTTGTGAATCCGCAGCTTGAAATTCACATTTAATGTACATCTGCACTCTGACTCATGAAGTTCCTCAGTATCTTTACCAGAACACGTAGAATGTTGATAATTCTCAGGACTGGAGACACGGAAGAAATTCTACAATAGACCTTAAACAAAGTTTCTAGCACTTAATTCTAGCATGTKTACTGAATTTGAATAATAAAATTTTGAATAAGCATCACAGCTGGTAAATACCCTCAAATTTTAAACCCATTTCGAAGCCAAAGTTGAAGCTGTAGATTCATATAAAAAGGAATCAAAATTCTTTCCCTATAAATTTCTAAACAATATTCCTAAATCCATAAAAGAAAGACAAATAAAAACTGTGTAATTAATTTACTTTTATTCTTTCAAAGCAATCTTGAAACATGAAACAGGACGACTATGAACATTTGTGATCAGTAAYGTATTTATCAGTTTTACCCTGAAAACTACTGAGATTTCTTTGTGACCTGTATGAATCAATGGTGTACTTCAGGAAGAAGGCTGCATCTTATAGCTTCAAAATTTAAAATCCATCCTATATCCTACACTTTGGAAACACCGTGGCAAGTAAACTAGAATTGATGACCAAAACTGAACCTCTTAAAATTAGGTTGCCAAAAAGCATATAAAGTAGATCTTCGATTTAATCCCACCTACACTGAGAACAGTTTATTCTGGAACTAGACCTAATGTATGTCCCCAGAACAGATTGGAAGGATTAGACTTATGCAAGCTTTTGTTTTTTCTCCTCCACTGCAGACAACTGTATAAACGTAATACACTTAATCTGTAAAAATACTAATTCCTTAATTACTTAACAGAAAAAAAACCCTGGTATAAATCATAACAGAACCTCTCAGGTCACCAGGTGTTAAAATACATAGTCGAATTAAAACAACAAAGGAATCTGTCACTGGATCYATCTAGGTATATCAATCACACAAATCTGACTCCCTCTACAAASAGTAAACTTTGAAAAATTGAGTGTATCTCAAATGTCCATAGTACCAGCCAAACACATACATAGCGACGGACAGAGAACAGCCTAAAAGCGTGCCTTACCTCCCCTTTGCACCCTCTCCCAACACTATATAAAACTCCAACCACACCCACCTATGATGTCACTGCCATTACACAACCTGTCCCCCTCCGTGCCTGTCTGCTTATGCAACTGGGCCCGGCCTGCTGGGAATTGTCTTGGTGACACTTAAGACTCAAAATAGGTCTCTCTCTCAGGAAACAAGGTTAAATACACCAACAGAATTTCTCTGTGCCCGCGCGCAGCGATTACCAAACACAAAACGAAGCAGAGCCCACAAACTCCTCTGTAAACAAGTCCCACACAAGCGTGCGGGGGGGAGACAGGACGGAGCGCATGTGGGACGCTCCCCCACAGCTCTGGAGTAAGCGCAAGCAAGAGTATCCCACTACCAGGCTGGGCGCTCCACCAAGGGCCGGGCAGCTGCGCGTCCCCTCCACTCGCTCTCCCAATGGAGAGCTTCCTCCAACCTCCTCAAACTCGAGAAAACTTCCGACGCTCTTCACCGGCCCGTGTCGATCGCTGACGGTCCCGCGCTCGGGGATAAGGGCACACCCACCTAAGCCACCACACCCTCAGYCCCCCGAACCTGCCATCCCGGGCTACTAGCCTGTCCCGGTCCCGCGGACACGGGCGGCAGCGGCGGGGACCGCGCGGCTCCGGCGGGCGGCACGGGCGGAGGAAAGGAGCGCTGCTCCCAGCCTTACCTGCTCGCAGAGCCTGGTTGACGGCGCCCAGCGCCTCTCGGAAGCGGCCCTGGGCCAGCAGCTCCTCCAGCCGGGTCCCGGCCCTCGCCCTTTCGCACTCGCCCGGGAACCACTTCTCCGCCAGACGGTTGAGGACGACGCTGGTGCGCAGCGGGGCCGCAGCCGTGCTGGTGCCCCCCGCCGGCAGCAGCCAGTCCCGGCAGCGGCGGCAGCGGGCCCGCAGCTCCCTGCGGAGGCAGCGGCGGCAGTAGGTGTGCCCGCACGGGACGGTCACCGGCTCGCCCAGGAACCTCCCGCAGCCGCAGCAGCGCAGCGGCCCCTCGGTCCCGCGCTCCCGGCCCCGGCCCGGCCCTTGCCGCAGGCGATAGTTCAGCACCAGGCAGTCCACGAGGGTCCCGAGGCGCTGGGTTCCGCCGAGGGGGCCGAGGCACAGCGACGCCAGGGACGCGCCCACCGCTTCCTTCAGGCGGCTCGCGGGCACCAGCCGCGCCAGCAGCAGCTCCCGCTCTTCGTCCGCTCCCTCGCCAGGGCCCCCGCTACCGCCCGGCTCCGGCGGCAGCTCCGAGCCCACGGCGGCGGCGGGAGAGGACGCTGCCATCGGCTGCGCGGCTGCGGCGAGGGGGGTGTGGCGCTCCCGCTCCGGACGCCGGGATCGGCTCCGGGCTGGGCGCGGGCGGGGGGCGGGAGGAGGCGGGGGGAGGTTACAAAACACCGCTCCACGCGCGCGCCGCCAACGGCGCGGGGTCACGTGGGGGGGACGGGGCGGGCCCGTCCGGGAACGCCCGTCCTGAGGGGCGCCGGTGCCCCGCAACCCCCGCAGCCCGCCCGGCGCCGGGGAGGGGGGAGCGCCTCGGCGGGGCCGGGGGTGGCCGGCCGGGGAAGAGGGACAGCCCTGCGGGCTCCGGGTTGACTCCTGGGAGCGGCTGCCGTGGTGAGGGTCGGGCGTTAGCAGGGCTGTGGGGGCGGTAGGGATAGAGGGATAGAGCCGTCGGGACGGGGAGAGGGCTCTCCAGCGGAGAACGGGGCTCTGTAGCTGCCGTGGCCCCGGAGGCATCACCCGGCGGGTGCCCGCCGCTCACCTTGAGGCTGCTACCCGCACTCGTCTTGGGCCGCCTTAGGTTGGCCCCGTTCCCTTCTGTGTTAGTCTTTTAATGGAGGACACGATAAGATAAAAGTTACAAGGTTAAGGAAAAGCTCTTTGTCCTTATGGTCTGTGTATTCCCCCCTCTCTTCCCGAGGGTTCCCGGCGCTCGCGGGACGGGTCGGACGCGCTCGCTGTGCCGTCACAGCCCGGCGAACAGCGAACCGCGCTTCCCACCAGCTCTGCCGGGAGTACCTGATCTGTTTGGCTTAAAGGARTCACACCCGGGAAATACTCGGGCTTTCCAGGTGTATGTCAGACTCTAATGAAAGCTTGAAGCCTATTGCATAAGTGTTGTGTGTTTATAATTTTTTTTTTTTAACGTTAGAAGGCTGTCATAAATCTAGGCGTTTCAGATAAATATAGCAGTACCTTTCAAACCTTCCAAGCAAAGCTTGCACATCAGGAAAATTAATATAAGGCAATATGAAAGGAACAAAGTTATATTTATCTTCCGCTGTATTCTGTGTATGGCAGGCTGGAGGATGATGCTGAAGGTTGTTAAGGGGGCTATAGGCAAAGATGCCATGAYTGAAAATAACCAGATCCATCTGGATTTGCGTCCAGGTGTTTTCTCTGAATTCAGCTACTCTAAGCTGCATCATTTATCTCCACAGTGTCTTTCAAGTTCCTAAAGAAAAAAGATGTTTTGGTAATTGAAATATGGTAATAGAGGACCCTGGGTGTATTTAAAACATGAGTAGAAATCATAGTCTTTTAGAGTAATTAATTAAAAAATTGAGTGAGTTAGGAAATGACTGTCTAACGATCTTACTACAATAGATGTATCTATAGTGTGAACATGAATCGTGGTGGGATGATGTAAATTGCTCTGAATTACTGTGAATGGTTTTAATGGATTATGGATTCTGATATGGACATGGCAGGTGTGAGTTGACCCCTCAAAAAGTAAAACTCTGAAAGTAGTACTATTAAAGAGAAAAGCAGTTTATTTTGCATTTCAGATTAGTTTACTTATGGAAATACAGAAGTTAAACAGAAMAAAGCACAAGGGCTTGTGGGATTGGAATTAGGATAGTAAGGTTGTCCTCTGATGGAACAGTTTAAAACAATAGAAATGAAAATCTTTTCACCATTGTCACTTCYAAGGATTCCTATAAAACTTCATGCTTTATTTTATCTCATGATTCAAACAATCATGAGTATAATCAATACATTCAGCTATTTTTAGGTAATTTCCAGTGTAAAGGAACAAAATGCTCATGGCTTTGCTGGTCTTGGAGCAGAAGAGTTGAGGTTTTTTCCATCTTTTTCTTCAAAACTGAAACAGTGAAAAAAGGGATTTGGAGGAGGATGGATGAATAGATGGGTAGTGAGCCTGCCATTTTACATTGCTCCCAAGAGTTGTAGAAATGTCTTGAATCTGGGAGATTATTTACGAGAAATCTGGACTATATATTCACCTCATCCTTAGTCTCTAGGATTTTTATCCCTGTTGGAAATGGTAATGGGCCTAATTGGACCTTGGTATTACCCAGTGTTGACATTCTTACATCTTTGAACTACAGTTGATTCTTTGGGCTTTGGTTTTGGTGTATTATTTCACCTTTGGCATATTTATCTAAACAAGAAAAAACTCTCAATTTTCAAATTTTTCACTGTGTTACCATCAGGACGTGATGGTTATGTAAGAGGAAAAAAAGACATTTTCAAGATTAGATAACACACAGCTCCACCACCACTCCATTAAAATAGCACACTCAAAAATCCTTTTCTTTTTCCTTCCCTCTTGTAGGGTCAGATAAATGACATTTTAAAATAACAAAGCCTTACCATTGTGCAGTTCATGTGGGCCATTCTCACAAAGACCTCAGGGACTATCCTTTTCCTTTCTGCTGTAGAGCAGTATTGTACTGCTGGTTATGGAAGTCGGTTGTCTTCATTCAGAAAGGTGCCTACAAAGCAATGTGCCTTCAGTAGAGTGAGGTAGAAGTAATTCCTTTCTTATGCTTTTTAAGGTATCGATTGGATGTTTTTCAAACAATTCCTTGTATGAGTAGTGTGTGCAACCCAATTAGACATGAAATTACAATAGTAATTTCATTTACAGTAGTGGTTTAAGTTGTATTTGACCCCATTTTAGGTGAATTCTCCACAATGATTCTGATTTAAGGTCTTCAGAAATCAACAGCAGTATAAGCAAAGTAAGGCAAGGCTAGCTCAGGCTAAGGGAACAAGCAGTGAACCTAAAAATTAATACCTATGTACTGGAAATCTGTARCCAAGCCCCATTTTTACAGGCCCTTGGCATATATCCCAAGAAAAAGTAGTTAACCCATAGCATGTATTTGTATTCTAAGAGAAATAATGTCTTTCTGGCTGTTTCTCCTCTTTCTCTTTAAAGGTAGATGCTGGTTACCCAGCTATTGTAACTTTCTGCAAAGATATGTGTAGCAAAGGCAAAATTAATTGGAGAAACATTAGATTAGGCACGTAAGAGTTGTACTTAAGAAAAGCATAATATTCCTGAAAACTATTTGTTCTACCAAGAAACTCTTAAACATATTTTCTTCTAGGGAAAAAAAAAGAAACCAAAACCAACCCACCAAAAAAAAAAAAATCTCAAGCCATATTGAAAATTCTTGAATGGGTTTTGAAGACCYTAGCTGATAATGTTTGAGTTCCTACAGCCCTGGTTAAGAAATAATGCTCAGAACTGACCAGGGTTTGTTTTGTTTTGGTTTTTCATCRTTGTTTAGTAGACTTTTGGGGCTTTAGGGAGATAATTCTGGCAGAGAGATTTTTAAATGGAAAAATCCTCAGCATCACTGCAGTAGCACACACACTAATCCTTGTGCAACACAGTGATGGCAGAAGTTGGTTTTGAGTAATTTTTTTGGTTACGAGTTGTTACAAAACTGCATTGGCAGCTTTGTCTCAAAGGTTAGTTCAGGTGAGCTGAACAGGACTAGACTGTCAGGAATACTGTGGCCAGGAGCAGCAGGGCAGTGATTGTCCCCCTGTCCTCGGCACTGGTGAGGCCACACCTCAAGTCCAGTGTTCAGTTCTGGRCATTTCAGTGTAAGAAAGACAYTGAGGTGCTGGAGCGAGTCCAGAAAAGGGCTACAGAGCTGGTGAAGGCTCTGGAACGTAAGTCCTGTAAGGAGCAGCTKAGGGTACCAGAGTTCATCCCAGAGACTAGTCTTTTCATAAAAAAAGAATTTTAGATGAACAAAATTTATTTAAGTTTTTTTTTTATTTTGGCAAAGGCAAGAATTTTAGCATTTTCATGAAGTGTATTAAATTCAGTGACTTGTGCTGCATTAAACCAGTTTTTAGCTGTCTAAATAAACCACTAATTAACAAACAGTGAAGTGCTCATTGGGATTTCCCTTCAGGTCAGCATAAAATCTGAATTCTCTTCAAAGCAWAATAATATGGCAATTGTGGATAAGGGAAAGACTGTGGATCTGGTTTGCCTGGACTTTAGTACAGTCTTTATATAATTTCTCACAATATTCTCCTGGAGAAATTGGCTGCTCATGGCTTGGACAACTGCACTGTTCCCTGTGTGAAAAGCTGTCTGTATGGCAGGATCAGAGTGTGGTGGTGAATGCAGTGACATCCAGCTGGCAGCCRSTCACTAGTTGGGTTCCACAGGGCTCAGTACTGGGACAAGTTTGGTTTCATATCTTGATCAGTGCTCTGGGGATAGGGGTTGGTCTCTTCTCCAAGAAACAAGCAGTAAGACAAGAAAATGGCCTCAAGGTGCCTGAGGGGAGATATAAATTGGCTATAAGGAAAACTTTCTTCACTGGAAGGGTGGTCAAGCATTGGAACAGGCTGCCCTGGGCAGTGGTGGAGTCACCATGCCTCGAGAGATTTAAAAAACATGTAGATGTGCCAATAAGGGATGTATTGGTGGTTAAGTGGTGGCCTTGGCACTGCTGGGTTAACAGCTGAACTTGATCTCAAGTGTCTTTTCCAACCTAAATGATTCTCTTAGTTCTACCTCCTCATTTTCAGTTCAATTACAGTTTTTTAGGTGTCTTTCACATTGTCAAGAGCCCTGAGGAGCTTGCTCCTAATGGTGATTTTGGACTTGGGGTGACAATGCCCAGAACCCACGAGATGCTGTCCCCATTCCTCCTTCCCAGTTACCAGAATTCTAGTTTGTCTGTGGTGCTGGGAAATCTGCTCATCTCCAAAAACAACTGCTTTCAGTCTTAACGTACCAATGTTATGGACTGACTTTTTTTTTCTCCAACCAGAGACTACTTATTTTCAGTAGATTTAATGACACTTTTGAGATTTGTCTGAATGAGATTTCTCTCACTTTGATGATGATGATAACAATACTTTGTTTTAAAAATACAAATGGCAAAGGTTGACCTCTGGAGTTAAAGGTAGAATATATGAAGGGAATTAAAGTTTAGAACAGATTTTATCTAAGTATGCAAGAAAATCTCAGCTAAGGGAGGCTGAGCTGACTAAATTCCCAAATGTGACAGAACTCAAAATATGCCATGACCATCAGATTTTCAAAGATTTGCAATACTGGCTATAGATCAGCAAGCACAGTATTGCTTACAAAAAGGAATTCTTCAAGTACAGGAAATTAAGCTGACTTCAGTAGTATGTTAGGGACACAAAACACATTGTCAAGTGGAAGACTAACGAGAGACATGAAGCTAAATGGATTATGGGTTAAAATAACCCATGCATTTATCTAACATAGAGTAAGTCAACCTAACTCAGTCTGCTTTTGTTCTTGTAATGGAAATTATGTTCTGCATACAGCCAATGCTCAGGCTCTTGTCTCATTTRACTTGAGTAAAGCAGATTATATAATGATAAAATTCTCCACATGGAGAATTTTTACCAAAACAGAGTAAGATGGAATTGCTAAAAAGTTGTCAGGTCTAAAAGATCCTATTAAAAGGCCTGTGAAAATGGTTCATGTGATAGGAAAAGCTTCCTGTCTGGAAACACACTTCATACGCATTTTTTGAGGATCAGGTTTGGTACTAATTTTACTTGATATTTTCATCAGTGACCCTGGCACAAAAAAGCAGGAAATTGATCTTTTGGTTTGGCAGCAAGTAAGAAAGTGCTGTCAATAAACTGAGGATAAAAATGTCAGACAGAAAGAACAGACCTGCTTGACTACTGGGACAGTAGAAATGGAAAAATTATAGTCATGCAAATGCACGATCCCGTACGTCTATTGAGAAAAAATATTGCTAGATCCTGAGAGTCTATTAATGGGAAATGGTAGAAGATGAGAAAGAACAGGAAGCTATAAAAAAACCTGATATAATCCTAGATTTTTTTCTATTTCTTACTGTTGAGATAAGGAATTACTCATTCTGCTATACGTGACTGGTGAACTGTCAATAAGCACACGACACAACAGTTCTGATCAGGTTATTTGTAAAAAAAAGAGGAAGCATAACTGTAACTGAAGRAAGAAAAGGATAATTAAAAACAGATTTATTGTTCAAGAAGAATTGGATAAATGCTTGCTCTCCCACTGTCTTAACAAAATGGGCATGGAGAGGGGACACGATTGCCTTGTGTAAGTGATCATGGACAGATAGCAAATGACACATAAGAAAAAAAGGTGAAGGAAATTATGAAAAAAAAATAGAGATTAGGAGAATGCTTCTGAGAATCTGGAGTGAGATTATGGAATGGTTTCTGAGAAACAGTGGGAGGATTTACATGCTGACCAACAGTGCTTGTTAATGCCAGGACAGGGATTACCTGACACGCTAGGCTGTTACAGCAAGGGACTGGATTCAGTCTGAAGAACAGAAGAATGTTGATTAGTAAGAAACAAGTTAGTTAATAGAAGAATAATTGAMAAACGGCTACCTAAACATTTCAACTATTGAGTCCACCCCTTAGTCTCAGTCGTTGTTACACAGTGAAGGTTACATTGTCTCTCATCTCAGCAAGGTGATGAAGTAACAGTTGCAAAGTCATGAGGACCACAATTGAAATGTCCCCCAGGTCGTCAGAAAATACAAAACTCACTTAGGGAAGAAGACTTGAAGGAAGGAGGGGAAACCTCTTTCATTGAAAGACAACAGGAATCAGGCATCTACAGAACGCTGTGCCCAGGCTAGGATACCCAGCACACCAGTGGGATTGACAGAGAAGGTGGCTGCTGTCAGTGCAGCAAAATATCYATACCCACCTCGTGTGGCCTTAGAGAGGCATGTTAGCCACTACTTCTGTGGTTACAAAAACAGGGTGGGGAGAGAAAGCAGCAAAATCCAAGTTTAGCCACCTTGAACTTCGTCTGCTAGCACTCCAGAGAGGAAGTTCTCATGGCTACTGCCCTGTCCTCTGCAAGCCAAGCATGGCACTGGGAACTTCCCGGAGACTGTGATTATTTAAGCCATTACCTTTTGCTTTTCACTCTAAATGGCTGTTCTGCCATTCTCACTGCTTTAGCTGAATTGGGCAAATTCCACTTCAAGTGTATCCAGTGAAGGACAGAACAGCCATGCTTGCACCTTTGGTGATGGCTTGAAATGGTAAAAGACCAGCTGAGCTTAAGTTGAATCCTCTCATGGAAAGTCAGCTTATTACTACTAATAAAATTTTTGTTCAGAACCATTTTATTATTTTTTAAAGGTCCATACACGAGAAAATAGAAAAACCCCAATATAAACAGCCCTAAGAAAATGGCTATGCCAAATGATTCTCTGAGACATTTGACATGTCTCTAGTAATATCTTTTTGTGACTTTTGTTTTTCAGAATAATAACGTGCAAATAGTTCATGCATAGTCATGCCTTCCATGTTAACTACTGGGGAATGTCTTCAAATTGCTTCACAGTATAAATTGTTACTTATTTACCATGCCAGTTGGTGACTGAGGTAGCATATGTGAAATGAATTTGCAGTTTCTAGTACAGCTAGTTGAAATTTTCCAGTGAAACACTTTTTCAAATTAAAAGAAAAAAAATTTTCCCTTCCCATCAATCAGGAAGGCGATGCTTTGTAGAAGAGTATTTGTCCAGGTAATCTGACAAAACATGAATAGATTTYCATGAAAAGTGTTTTCCAAACATCCAGGAAGATATCACTGGTGATTTCTGTTTATTTCCAGAATAGCTCTACCATGGGACTAGTCCCCACATGCCTCTAATCTGGTAAAATCCCTGTTGTGGAACAAGAAACTTATTTGGGGAAATCCATTTCTTGTTAAAGGTCAATTCCTGGCTCCACAGYAGTAGCCTCCTGCCATGTGTCTGTAGCTGGAGTCAAAAATCTTCCAAATTCCTATTGAGTCAGCAACCAGGACCTTGCAGTTCTGGCTTCCAACCCTCCTTCCATAAAACATGATATGCAAAATTAGTATTATATATAAGAGAAAATCAGGTTCTTCATCAGCATTCACAGTAATTTCCAGCTTCTAAAAGGAGATCTGGTTAGAAATTTTCTCCTTTTTCATCCATGAGTAAAAATACTTTGCCTCAGCTTTATGGTGTTTATTTTGTCCTAAAGTAGTTAAAAGTCATTAAAATTGATGCTTGATGTTTGAGTCACTTCAACCCTGGCTAAGAAATAACACTCAAAACCAACTTGGTTTTGTTTTGTTTCAGTTTGTTCTTTGTTGCTTAGTAGACTTTTGGGGCTTTAGTGAGATAGTTCTGGCAGAGAGATTTTTAAATGGAAAAATGCTCAGCATCAGTGCAGTAAAACAAACACTAACCCTTGTTTGTGCAACACAGTGGTGGGCAGAAGTTGGCTTTGAGTAATTTTTAGATATGAGTGGCCACAAGCTTGGTCTCAAAAGTTAATATGAGCTGAACAGAGCTAGACTGCTACCACTGTCTCTAGCATTTCTGTACAACAGTGCAGTGTGGATTTTCCAAGGAATCTTAATTCTCTTTGAGTAAATTTGAGCTATGGGTTCTCAGTACTTTTGAAAAAAGGCCCATAATAAGTTATTTAATTACAGTTAGTAATTATGTATGCACTAGTGAATATGAGAAAAAAAATGACCATATATAGGATAAACAGTTAACTACATGCTAGAAAGATAAAGACCTCATTCAAAATAAAATGGGAGGCAAAACATAATAGGATCTAAAATACTTAGGGAGGTAAAAACAGGGAGAGTTTATTGTCTTGATTCAATAAGGGACCTGAATACCTAAAGCAGGGTTTATGGAGAATTCAGGTGTCTAAGTCAAAAAATACGATCACAGGTAACACAGCTGCTGCCTAACCCAGGAGTGCCTAAAATCACAAGGCTCTTCCTTGATTGTAATTTTTGTCTTTAGCGTGTCTTGGATTTTACTTCTGTGCACATTCAGTGTGCAGCATCTAGAGCAGTTTAGGCACTTATTTCCCATTCAGCCATTTACAGTCCTCAGCAGAAAAGCTCAAGGACTATATTTTGTCAGCATATTCAGGTCGGGCACAGATACACATTCTGAGATTCTTAGTTTGTTGTTGTTACTTTTAACATGAAGGATGGAGAGATGGAATGACCATTCATTTAACAAYCTCTCTTGATTATTGGTTATAAGAGTTGGAAGATGCAGTTTGTTTCTGAGAGTGTTCAGACCCATCACCACCTCTTAAGTAACCTTATCTTAAAGAGTGACTGCATGAGTTTAAATTGTCTTGGGACATGAATTAGAGATGAGGATCTCTCACTCCCTGCTAAATGCCCAGTTCCTACAGACAACAGAATTCTTTGCTTCATTGTGGCATGACTTCAACATGAGCAGGGCAGGATCATCTTTGTTTTCAATAGCCCTGTCTCTTGCTGAGTAGGATCACTTTTCTGCCCTGTGCTGATTTGAACCTTTTTTTTTTTTTTAATGGGGAAACACAGGAGCAATGGGTTGCTGTATAGGAAGTGCTTGTTTTCACATTTCCTTCAGTTATCCTGGCTGTGATTTAACAGAATACTGCAAGCCCTGTTCCTCTTTCTTTTCTTTTTTTTTTTTTTTTTAACAGAATGGTAATTGGATCCTACAGTTAAGAGGACTCTAAACCGTGAATTTTAGGCACACTATGTTGTTCGTATCGTGGCCTGACTGAAGTTTCTAAGGAATTGCAATAATGCTGCTGCATTTCTGGGGTTTGGTAAGTCTGGCAGTTATACGTTGAAACTCTGGAACTGGCTATCCTGGAAACATTAATAAGTGGAGTTACTCATTTCCCTATTTTCATGTTCATTGTATTTTTTTCTTTTTCCGTATGTGATGATATGTGGTTGTTCATTGTAAAATAGTGCTGAATGTTTCTGTATGTGCAAGGCAACAAACTTAAAAATGTTATCTAGAAGGTCTTATTTTTAATTATTCCGGTTTTTAAAAGTAATTTAGCTCCAGATAGGTATGAGTCATATTTGCTTTTTTTCAGGGAGAGAAACCTTGGACTGATCAAACTCTTTCCCTCAGCCTTTGTTGCCTGATAGGAGAGTTGCATATAATCTACWGGTTTATAAAATAGCTAAATATTCACTGAAATATGTGCTCCTATTAATGTAAATTGTATTCAAAAACAATGCACTGACAGCGTCAAGTACTAAATTTAAAGAGWTAAAGTGCAGGAGTCCTTAGTGCAGGACTGTAACTGAATAATGAACAAAAACCAAAATAATAGTAAGGGAAGTACTAAAAAGACTTCAATTAGAGAAGGCTTTTTTTTTAAGRTAAAAGTTGCTCACTAACAAAGAGTGCAGAAAGCTAATAAGTCAGCATTTTTAATGTTTATCGGTATGTTTTTCTTCAGCTGAAAGTTGTTGACTAACAGTTTGTTGCATATCTTACAATTTTTTTCTGAATTATGTATTCACACTACAGAAAAATTACAGGCTGAGTGTTTTAAAAATAACATRGCAAAAGAAAAGGTAATTATTTGGATATGTGTTCTATATTCTATAGAATATATAACTTGGTATTTAAAGAACAATTATCTTGATATCTGTTTATATATTCTCTAATATTTTATAATATTCCTGAGAAAATGTAGATAGTCTCTTAATATATTCCTTGCTGTCAAGCTGGATGTTTCATGTCTCTTTTATGATCGTCCTCTGAGATAAATTATATTGAGATACATTTGGTTTTGAATATAGTTTGCCAAATAGGTGAAGTCTCTTTGAATTTAAAATAATTATTGTTCTTCATTCTTATACAAGGTAAAATTACAGTTATTGCATCAAATATGCATTAAAAGTATGCCTGTATGGTAAAACCAAATTTCAACCAAAGGAGAAGGAAGGAAAAAAGCTTGCTATGCTTAATATCTAGCCTCTTGGAAAAAACCTTTCCTTTCTGGTGGCCAGTAATAAATACAGAATTAAATTCAGTGTTTCTGTCAATTAAAATGCATTTTAGAAAATGCATATAGAAATCAAAAAGCCCCTTATTTGTTATTACTGGATTGGACTGCTGCTAGTATTAGATAAATCACTGAATTTTTGGATAATCATAAAATCATTAACATCTTTTAAAATTCTAAAGGAGTTGTTAAAGTTACAAAATTAGTGTTTACTTGCTCTTCTTAAGATAAGCTCTTTGGGATCAGAGGAGTAACTGCACCTGGTAGATATTTCTTATTCATAAAGTTGCATAGAGGAGTTTGCATAGATATTCACTTTTTCCTTATCTAATGGGTGTCCTTCCTTCAGAGGTGTTAGAGTACTGGGTAAATATTTTGTATTAATGAGAATAGGAAATACATGATTTTTTTCAAAAATCTGTGACTAGTACTCTTTACTAAATAGAGTGCTATATGAAGAACATAAGCTGAATAAAAAGCGATTGCATTAAGTTTAATCAGGGTGACAGAACACATCTAATTAAATCATCTTCTTGGCAATAGTTTTTCTTTTAGCATCAAAATGAATTTTACTGTTTATTCTGACTATCCAATATTCTTTTTCTACTTTGGCTTGTACCTATTTACCATAACTTAAGTCCCGTTTGTTCCTTGAACATTAATAGCATCACCCAGCAGCACATTGTGTGCTGTAGGTTGAGGTACCACAGGCACATCTTCAGCCTTTACTACAAGCATGCCACAGGAAATGCACACCTTTATTTTATTTCTGCTGAAGACAGCAGGTGACAGGGTTGAATTGGGATACCATTAGTTCTTTTTCAGTGGAGCAGAGGATCATACAGGAGAGAAGTGAAACCTAAAATTCTTCATTTCAGCATTYCTTCATTTAATTTTTTTTACATTCCTGAAAATGCAATGCAACTTTTCTTTTTCCTAACTCCAACATATATTGAATGTAATTTGCCTGTACAGTCATGACAAGTTTCAGCCATACTGAGTCTAGGCTGACCACACCTTTTCATGGGTGCCTCTGTGGTTAGTAGCCCATTCCAAATGGATCCTATGTGATGCGTTCTGTCCTTGTCACACTATATATAACAATTACATTTTAGGGATTTTTTAAAAATTATTTGCATCCCTCAACTTCTGATTGTCCAGGTGGGGTTTTACAAGGGCTGAAAGACTGTGATAAGCCTATGCAAATGAGAGTATTTTTAAAATCACATAATATATTTKATATATCTTCATATTTCTACCTCTAGTCAAAAGTGAACAGCTTATCCTGCTGTTTTTCATGGGTTTGCCGATGTACTGGATCAGTTTTACATTTGTGTTTTGCTATGCCGGTATTAGTAGATCACTTGAGAGCCCTGCCTTACTCCCAGTTTGTGCTTGCCCTTTAATGAAGAGGTGAAAACCTGACAAGCTGTTGCCATCATTTTCCTGACACACYATAGAGCTTTTTGTTACGAAGTACTTGGTTGGTGTCCTGAGGCTTCAGCTATGGAGATTTTATATATGGCTCAGCATGTCAAGTTTTGTGGCTCCTGTAATATTTCATCCTCCTACTGGTACTGATTTAACACCTCAATTCCTGGCCATAAATTTAAGCCAAAAGTTAACTATGTAGACTAGGCATAAATATTGATTATTAATTATAGAAATAGGAGGTGCAGCATGTCTTTCTTTATTGTATTTAAACATTTGGGGTTTTAAACACTGTAACAGACTGCCCAGGGGGGCAGTGAATTCAGCATCCCTGGAAGTGTTCAGCAAACAATTGGATGTGGCGCTTGATGCCATGATATAGTTGACAAGGTGGTGATCAGTCAAAGGTTGGACTTGATGATCTCAGAGATCTTTTCCAACCATTCTGTGATTTATTAAATAACGTTGCCCTCAGAGGTTCTTTTTCTTGGTAATTTAATAAAAATGATTAGTGGCAAACACTGGAGTTTACAGGGTTAATGCTTGGGGGTAACAGTCTCCCAGGATTTTTGAGTTCTGCAGCACCATTAAGAAAATTAATAGTCAGGTCAGTAACTGATTCCAGGCTTAAAAGCAGGTTATAATGATTGTAGGGCTGAGTCATATCTTAGACGTAGTAGCTAAGTAAATTGTTCTGGTAAAGTAAACAGTAATACATCAGAATGAAAGGTTTCTGAATAAGCTATTTGCTGATAAATTACAGCATAGCAGAGCTTGCCTGTCAAGAATGAGGAGCAAAGAAGGCATCAGCCTATAGTCTTTTTTATCCAGATCTCRTTGTAAAAGGCTTACACTGTAAGAGAAGTACCAGGTATTTGTAGAGGAAAGTTTGTGTAGAATAAGTAATTATTGAGGAGGAAGAAATAAAAGGGAAGGTACATTTTTCAAAGACATCCTGCATATCTTTGGTTGTGTTTACRCTAATGGGACTGAGTTGTCCCTCTTCTCATTGAAATCACCTCTTTGCTGATGGTGCAAAATTGACAAGTCATGGATGTAGCTGTTTTCCTGCTTTATGGTGTCACTTAAAGAAAAGTATAGGTTGTGTTCAGATTGTACCGTAGCTCAGATTTCCCTATGTCCACAACCTTTTTGGGGACACAATGTTAACTGGAAGCAACTTCTGATCCTTTCTTTCCTGGCCCAAACAGAAACATATGAATGATAATATGCACCATTAAATCTGAAACAAATCTTCAGTCATGGTAGTGCTACATTTTGCAATGATGACCTCCTTTCTGTCGATCTCAATAGAAAGATGTAATGCCTTTATCAGTTCTCACTACAAATAAGTTTCTCCATGGAATGACTGTATTAAGAAATCTCACTTTGAAATTATGATTTTAAGGTGATTTATGTAAGAAATAACAATGCCTATAGAATGATTGATTGTTGTTTTTAAGTAAGGACTTGTATAATGTCATTGTCTTAGAAGCTTGAGTTGCTTGGTTTTTTTTTTTAATTTTGGTTTTCAGAATACTGGTTTATACCTTATATTCCACTACTGTTTCCTCTGCGTACCTTATTCCTACAGTTCTCATATTATGATTCTATTAAAACAAAATATATACGTGAAAATATATGTATGTACCTGTGAGCAAAGTGTTTGCAACCTTTTAAAAAATATTTGCATTTGCGTTAGCTTCTCTAAGGGTTAGTATTTTCTGAAAAAAAAAGAAAAGATTTTGAATGAAGAGGGTAATAAGTGCTTTAAATCTCAAAAAAAAACCTTTTGCTGCTGTTTGTACTTCTGTCATAAAAGTGGTACAGTGTGTTTTTCTGCAATCCAAAAATTTCTTCTGAGTAACTAGCTTGATTCATGGATTCATAATTTTCTTGTGTAACAGAAGGGATGTTCTCTTAAAAATTGCTTGCTGATGCGGGGAAGGACATGCAGGTGGAGRGACTGATACCAGGTGGGAGCTGCAGGTTGTGGTTGGGTTTATCCTGCAGCCAGGGGGATGTGCTGCATAATGCAGATCTGAAGGCCAGGTTGGGCATGCTGCAAGGGGCTGGTGAAGCTTCTCTGCTGAACTGCTGTGGGTGTCACTGGCTCCTGGGTGTACAGTGGCCTTCTGGTYAGGATCACCACTGCGTATTACAGAAAAGATCTTCTGAACTTTTATAAAGTGTGTGAGCTTCCCTCCAAAGCAGTCAGCATCCGTGTCATAAGTATTACCTGTGCTTACTGTACTCCTGCTTTAGCAGCTTTGAGAGGACACTGGAGTTTGTCCTGCAGTGGAGGTACCATGTACTTCCATGACTTGGCTCCTGGAGTTTGGATCAGGCCCTACCAAAGAAGTCTG